TTTTTTTTGTTTAGAAACTAAAAGCAAGTCACATTACGGTAGCTCAACGTTACCTCACCTTTACATAGAAATCACAGATATAAAGAAATTGTCGATCTCTGATTTATATATTGAAAGCGAACTCGATGATATTACTACGTCAGCAAAGGAAAACTCGTTTTCGTTAAGAGATCTGTATTCCATTAGACAAGTCACCGCTACATATAATCTTTTCAAAGTATCTTTAAACTTATTTTTTTTTAAAAAAATCTCATTTCTTAATTAAAAACTCATTTATTCTAATATTTATCTAGCGAATTGTTGCTTCGTTTTGTCCTTCGATTTATAGACACGAACTAGTTAAAGGTATAATATAATGATCTGTCTTGCACTCCATGGATTTAAATTTATGGTCTAAAATCTGAAATCATTTTGTTACCAGCCGGAATATTGCTTTCGTTGTTTGGAAAAAATGATAACGGGGCAATTCACATTCTTATAGTCGGTTAGCTACCAGTTAATATTTCTTAATTTTGGTTTCTGCAATTTTTATTTATTCCAACTTAATAGGTGATCCGGGATCAGATAAAACAGAATTACTTTCAGCAACTAGCTCCATATCACCAAACACAGTATTTACACCAACAAATCGAGGCGATGAATCTTCAATTTTACCTACTTTACAATACGACAGATATTTCAAAGAATGGACCCTCAAAGCTGGTATTATATTACATTACTTGTAAAGTTTTTATTACAAAATTAATATCAATTCTAAACATTAATTTTTAGGTTCTTTGGCATTGAGTAATGAAGGGATTTGTCGAATTGATGACTTTGAAAAATGTGGCAGATTCAATGCTCTTGCCGAAGCTATAACTAGAAAATCATATCCGTAGGTTGAATCATGCTCATTTTCCATAATTATTAAGTTACAATTAAACACGATATATTTTAATATAAAGAATTGGAAAGTATGGAATTAAATGTTCGCTCAAAACTCAAACGAGTATAATGTAAGCTATGTAAGCTATTGATCTTGAATAACTATTCAAAAAATATAAAAAATTT